GCTCCCACCAGTAGCCGCCAGTGGACACTGTGGCACCTCATGGTCACCAGAGGCTGCCAGGGCCCTTCCCATCACACTTGTACCCAAGTTGCCAAGAAGGAAGAGGGTGGAGGCAAAAAGGAACTTTGTCTGTCTTGTTTGATCAAGGAAAGTGGTCCTTCTCCAGCTCCTTTTTACATCTCATTGGTCATTCTGGGCCCCATGCCTCTTCCAGAACCGTCCCTGGCTTGAGGGAATGTGGTTGGCTGAGACCTGTTAGGATCTGACTCCTTCCCCAGGGCTGGGCATGCTGCCACTCAAAAACTAGGGAGCCTCTTGGGATGGGATACAGGGCTGCATCTAGTTCCTGGGGTCTTGGGTTGTGCTGAGGTGCAGTGGGTGGAGAAGGGTTGGTTGGCCTAACTCATCCATCTTGGTTAACGGAACCTGTGGTTGGACTGCTTGGGGTCAAACCTGATTCTGCCATTTGCTGGCTGGCAGTGTGGCCCTGGAAAAATTGCTTCACCTCTCTGTGCTTCAGTTTTCTCAGCATAAAATGGTTGTGGGATTAAATGAATCAAAACATGCAAGCCCAAAGAATTGAAAACAGGTGTTCTAACAGAACATTATACATGAATGTTTACAGCAGCACTATTTATAATAGTGTTTCTAAGTTAGAAACAATCCAAACGTTCATCAGTGGATGAGTGGATACACACATGTGTTCTATCCATGCAATGGAATATTAGTGAGCCAGAAAAAGGAGTGAAACATTGACACAGGGTTCAGTAATGTCAATCATTGAGGACAGATGCCAAGTGAAAGAAGCCAGACACAAAAGATCGCGCACTGCATGATCCACTTGAACTACTTAGTGGGGTAGTCAAATTCAGAGACAGAACGTGGTGTGGTGGGTGCTAAGGATGGAGGTGGGGAGAATGTGGAGTGACTGGGTACCCGGTTTCTGGTTGGGTGATGAAAATCTTCTGGAACTAGAGAGTGGTGATGGTTGTATAGCATTGTGAAGGTACTGTGTGCCACTGAATTGGACACTTTAAAATGATCAAGATGGTAAATTTCATGCTGTGTGCATTTTACCACCATAATAAAACAACACACATGCAAACTGCTTCACGCAGTGTCTAGTAAGTATTCAATGCTGCATAATTATTTATTATTATTATTATTATTATGTTATTAGTCTTGTTCTGCTGTAGCACACTTTACACTTGCTCCAAATTCCACCTGGATGGTGCCTTCACCCCCAGCTGCACCCTTCCCAGCCCTGCGGGTCCAGGAATCATTTTATCCTGGGAAGCTGGCGGGTCAGAGCTGTTCAAGGTGCTCTCTGCTCAAACGCACAGGAAGCCATTTCTTCCCTTGCAGCCTCCTCCCTGTTGGGGGTGTACCTGGAAGGGAACTCAAATCCCTTGTGGTCTGACTGTTGGGGTTTCCCTCACCTGTCAGGGCTCAGCTCTTACCCTACCACACCATCCATATGTCCAGGTGTGCAAGTGACTGATTTCTTGAAATTCTGTATTCTTAGGAAATCCTTGATTACCTGTATAAGTGAGCTTGGCTTCTGTTTTCCCCCACCACTCACTTGTGGTGCATATGCAGTCTAAGTCAATTCTGAGTTCCTGGAAGATGCCAGAAACATCAGTGTGTGCACTGGATAAGGAATAGTCACAGGTTTTGCAAAGAATTTCAACTGGTGGTTACCACGGCAGCAGCTGCCTGTGTGTTGGTGTTCAAGAGCAAAGGGGTCCGTTATTGCTGCTGCCAGTTGACTCAGGTGGGGAAACCCCTCTGCCTATTCGCCTCCATCTCAACCCCACCCGCACCCCAACCCTGACCTGTCTTCCTTCTGCGGCGCCTTCCAGGCCTGCAGTACCAGCTGCAGCCACGAGATGGCAATGTTGCTCTTCGCCGGCAGCCCGGCGGGCTCGTGGGCCGAGCCGCAGCAGAGTTGGGGTGCGGGGACCGACCGCGAGCAATCTGTGCTGGGGGCAGCCTCTTGCTGGGCAGGGGGTGGCGGGACCTGAGGAAGCCTTGCACGGCTAGGCTGAGGCTCGAGGCTTCTTCTTAGTTGAGTCAGCATCCCCACACTTACAGATCCAGGGGAAGGACACTTCCTGGCCTCAGTTTCCCCATCTGTACCTAAGGTGAGATTGTAGACTAATTCTTATGGTCCTGCCCCGGGCTATGAGGCCAGCAGGCTGGGGGCGAGAGTCTGGGTAGGAGTGAGAGGAGAATTCCGCCCAGCCCTGGGGTCTCCAAGTTAGTGCAGCCAGCCTCTCAGATTTGCCCCAGGCCTTCGGAAATCCAGGGAGGCCTTTTTCCTGCTTATTTCCTCCAGAAATACCCGCTTTAGAGATACAGGTTCAGGGGCCTGGTTAATATGCAGAAATCCTCATCCAACCACAAGGCAGGCTGAGCAGGCTGGAATTCTCATGCCTACTCCACATATGAGCTCAGAGAGGATTAGGGGTTTGTCCAAAGTCACACAGCTGGGGGATGGAAAAGTCACCCTCAAAAACAGATCCCTGCCTTCAGCGTGGGGCTCAACCATCATCAGCATAATTTAGTGGGGAAGGGTATGCCCCCTTCCCCAGCTCTGCCCTGGAGAAGCAGGGTGCTTTCTTGGGGTATGACCAGTAGTCCTGAGTGTGGGGTTGGGGGAAGGCAACTCCCATCTGCCATCACACCTGGGACTGTGTGACTGCTGGCTTGGGGACTTGCTGGACTGATTCACAACCCCCTCCAAGCACCACCATTAAGCCACAGAATGACCCCTTACCCTGCCAGAAAATGACTTTTTATCTTTGGCCACAGTCTCCCAGCCCTCACTGACCTGCTTCCTGGTCAAACACGTGGTTCACTTTGGCACCAGCACTTGGGGTCACTCCTGCTGTGGCTCTCCCCTGCTGTTGTCCACTCATTTTTGCTTCACCATCTCCTTCAGAGGCTGGCACACAGTAGGTGCCAAGCTCCGCAGATGCTTATGAACCAGTGAACAGGAAAGAGGTGTTGGTGGCAGTTGGGCACAGAGGACCCGAAGAGTCCTGACCATGTCTCCAGGATCATCCTCTTAGCTGGGGAAGGAGTCACAGAGAGGGGACAGATGGGCCCCTCGCAAGGCCACCCTAGGCCCGAGGAGACCTGCAATCCCATTGTCCAGCCTGTTGCGTGGGTCTCCATGCATTGCAGGCCTTGCCAGGGAGCCCAAAGGGGGCTTGGCCTGGGCACAGGCTCCTTCCAAAGGAAGCCGATTAGCAGCCACGGGAAAATCCCTTTACGTCTCCTAATTAACCTGGGCTAGAGACTCACCACCTGCCCCTGGCTTTCTTCCTTCTTTTATCTAGGAAGAACCGAGTGCTGCCTCTGCTAATGAGCTTGTCTGTACTAATCAAGCAGGTGCCTGGTCCCCCATCCCCTCATGCCAGCCGGGAGTGGGGAGGATTGTTCTTCTGATGTGAGCTCTGGGCCCGCAGAGGAAAATCAGATCTATCATAATAATGGCCACGATGATGAGAATGATAATGTGGACAGTGAGTCCTTTAAATGAGTTCCGACTTCCTAGGTCGGGGGCTTTATATGTGTTATTGGGGGCTCCAGGTGGATGTGCAATGGCTTCCATTTCTCAGATGAGAAAACTGAGGCTCAGGAAGGAATAAGGGACTCACCCCAGCTTGCACAGAGAAGGAGTGGCAGAGCCTGGATTCTCAGCCAAGACTTCGAGACTCCAGAGTCTTCCCCAAGTCTATCTTTTCATCAACCCATGCTGCCTTATTTACCGTTTTCAAAGAGTTTGACCCACTTTTTCATGGAAAACAGAGATGTCAGAGCAAGTGGCCGGTGTGATGGGGGCTGGGGTGGAGCCGGGACTCCAACCACTCTCCCAGGTGGGCCACCCCCCATGTCCCTTGTCCCCCCGTCGTGGTGGGGAAGCTTTCGAGGCATCTGGGCGCTGCTGGAGGTGCCCCTACTTGCTCCCAGCATGTCTCATGCATTTGGCTTAGGCCCCCCCTCCACCGTGGCTTTGCCTTGGTTGGGGATGGGGCGCCCAGGAGGATCACTGGGTTCTGGGATAATAGGTACTGGGGCCCCGTGTGACCTGTGACCTCCCTCCGCACTCTGGCTGCGCCCCTGCCCCTGGATGGAAAAATCTGACCACCCAGTACCCCGGCCCTGCGCAACACCCCGGCGCCTTCACTGCCTGGCCCTGATGGGAACTCATTCCAGGGACGCCAGGGAATCTGCCCTTTCCAGGAGAACTCCTGGCTGCCTCTGCGTGCTCCTAGGGCCTGCGAGAAATGGGAAGGCGCATTCTCTAGCTTGGGTAAATAAAGGACCCTGTTTCACGTGGGTAGACATCCCCAAGCAGCCTTCGCTGTGTTCCAGGTGACCGCACCCTGCCTGCGCGCCCCCAGCCCCCATCCCGGTGCAGTGCAGACGCTTCGCACACAGCCCCGGCCTCCCGGAGTTCCCTCCACCCCTCTCCCGTCTCCCACAGGCACCTGCTAGCTGTGCCACATTTAACCCGGGACCTCCGGTCAGCGCTCAGCCTCGCGGTCTCTGGCCCCGGCAGACACCGCCTCTCCAGAGGTCGCTGCTCCATCCCAGGGGCCCTCCGGTGGCTCCCTCACCCATCGACCTTGGCAACTTCTACCGCTGCGCCCCCAAGACGCCGGATCTAGCTGGGCACCCCCTCTCTGCACTCCGCACCCCTCCCGCGGCCCCAGACCCCGCGAGAGCCCGCGACCGCCGGAGGGCTCCCCGGACTTCTCGGCCGGGCGCCCTCCCCCGGGCCGCCGAGCAGTGGCGCGTCCCGCCGCCTACTGGCAGGGCTACCGCCTGTGCCCCGGCTCCCCGGCGGCCCCTCCCCCGGCCGCGGCCCCGCCCTCCGCTCCCCTCCTCCTCCTCCTCCTTCTCCTCCTCCTCCTTCTCCTCCTCCTCCTCCTCCTCCACCTCCTCCTCCTCCTCCTCCTCCTCCCGGAGCTCGCTCGCTCGCTCACTCTCTCGCTGGCTCGAGGGGCGGCCGGCAGCTGGCGCTGGCAGAGGCGGCGGCGGCTGCGCGACCGGGATGGGACGGGCGCTGGGGCGCAGGAGCCGCGGCGGCGGCGGCGGCGGCGGCGGCGGGGGCCGCGCAACTCGGGCCAAGTGCGGGGCAGCCGGCCAGGGCGCGGGGCGCTGAGCCTCGGCGGCCCCAGCTACCGGCCGTGCACGGCCAAGCCCAGGAGAGCGCGCAGAGGCGCAGCCGAGGAAGCGCCACCAGCGCCGGCGCCTGCGTCTGGGGAGGAGCGGCGCGCTGGGAGCGAGCCATGCCCGGCGCCCGGGCGTAGCCGCTGGGGGCTGCTCCGGGAGCCGCGGGCCGGGCCGGGCGCGCGAGAGGAGCAGCCCCGCACCGCGCCCACCGCGCGCCGAGGACCATGCCGCCCCCGGGCCGGGCGCCGCCGCTCGGGCTCCTGCTGGCGCTGACTGCGCTCCGGTGCCCAGGTAACGCGCCCCCGGACCCCATCCCCGACCCCGGCCGCCGAGCACAAAGTTGGCTGAACGGGCGGCTGCCTCCTCCTCAAGTCCCTGGCAGCGTGCATCTCCCGCACTCGGACCGACCATGGGAGACCCCGGGAACCCAGGAGCCCCTGGCGCGTTCCCCTTTGCCCCGCGCCTGGGAAGAGCCCGCCTGCCTTTTCCCCCAAAGCCCTAGCTTCCCTGCGGATTGTTTCGAGACGTAAGGGGACCACAGACCCGGGCGCTCAGCCTCTCGAGGCGGGTGAGGGCGCGCCTCCAGGAACAGAGCCCCCTCGCCGCCCTGTCTTAGGCCAACATTCCCCCAGGTCCCGGTTCCTGCGGGGGTTTTGCTGGGTGGGGGCGTCGACGCAGCCCTTCTCCCGCGCCCTGCTGCCCGCGGTCGCACAGTGGCGCGTTCCCGGGACACCTGCGGGCCCCGGGAATGTCTCGGCTGGCGCTGTCTGGCGTGTCCGCAGCCCCTCCCCGTGCCCCGCGGCCCTCCCCTGCTTTCATATCGCCCTCCTCAAGCTATCCACCCTCGCCAAGTGGCCTCCACTTGGCCAAAAAGCAGCCCGCTGCTCGCCTCCTGCAAACGCGAGGAGCCAGCTACCCCAGCGCCCTGACCCCAAGGCAGGCGGGAGAGGGTAGCCGCCGCCAGGCAGCCCAGGACACACCGTGCAGCCTGGAACACGGTTGATGTCCAGAGCCATCGCCTGGGCACTTGGGAGCTGGACGCCCTGCTGAACCGGCTCAGCTGTCGCCCAGTCCTAGTGAGTGGGGAAAGCAAAATAGTCATGTATTGTCCGTCTCCGCTGTAGTTTGGAAAGCTTTCTACCCACCTTGGTGTGGCTACATGTTGGTTCTATAGAAAGGGTATCCTAAAATGACAGTTCTTCCCTTCCCCCCACCCCATGCAAGTGGTGGAGAAAATCCTAAAGACTCAGATGAACCCCGGGAACATCACGAGCAGCCCTCATGTGCTTTGGAAATCTCAGCTTTCCAGACCTTTTAAAACCAAGACCCATGATTTGGGAGTAGGTAGCTTTTGCTTTAGAAAATCTCTCCCCATTTCCTTAACAAACAAACCACCCAGACAGGCAGAATGCAGTAGAAAAATACAACTTTTAACTTTTCGGCTTTCACTGTCTTGGTAAGGTTCAGTTAGAAGCAAAGCTTGCATGTCAACTTGATGGTCGATGTATTTCATTTGCATGGAAAAAGTCAGCGTCGGCTTCCTTTGAGATGCCCTTAAATGACCCAGAGTATTTACTAACACCTTTGACTCGGGGAAAACCTTCTATGGGAGATCTCCAGCAGCCTTCGGCTGTGGTTCATCTTAGAGAGTGGCATTGGGCTTAAGGTGGATGAATCTCGCCTGCTTGGCTAAGGAGCAGCTATGATAGCTGTTTTGCTTTCGGCATTCCTCTGCGGTATGCAAGAGGGTTTGCTGCTGGGGCCGAGCTGAAGCCCTGGGACCTGTTTGCAAAAGTGCATAGTCCCTCGGACTTGAAAATTGCAGTTTTGTCTCTATTTTGTTTCTCCACGGGGGTCAGCATTTGCCTGGATGTGCTTATAAGTGAATATTGGAAGTCTCTCAGAGAAGCTGGCTGCCTAATGCTTTGTAAGAGAACACGATGATCCCCCTGCCACCCCGCCTTCCCGCCCTCTCCCCCAGCAACAGAAGAGCCTGTGCCTGGCTCTGGAAGGCCCATCTTGGGAGGGAAGGTGGGCTGCCACTGAAACCTGCTGCTGGCCGGCTCTTTGCTTGCTCCCCTGCTGCTCTTTGGGAGAGTCTCAGCTGGGCAGCTCGTTCCCACAAATACCACCCGGGCAGAGCCTCCAGTGCCATCGGCCCGTCCCTGGAAGCACATGCAAGTCTTTCACTGGTCCCCACCAGGGACATAAAGAGACGACAGTTTGATAACTCTATATTTAGCACTAGTTAGGAGGGCTGGCAAAAAAAAAAAAAAAAAAAAGGTTGAAATTCCTGAAAGATACTTAGCTGCCTACACTTGGTTTTGAAATGTTCGGAGGAATTAACCAGAGCTTCTTTCAAAGCTGGTTGGATTTTGTGGATGTTTTCTGCCGTGGTTTACCTACTTCGTTTGACTGAGGCTCTGGAATAGGGGCTGGAAGAGTTCAGAGGCAAAGATGCACTCACTGTCTCCCACCACACACATGCAGGGACTGGCTTCTTCGTCCCCCACCCCGCTTCCTGCGTGGGTAGCTGCCATGGTAAAGAGTATGGTGGGTGTACTTCTTTCAGCCTTGCAAGTGCTTAAACATATGGAACGGTGCTTGGTAAGAGTCAGCACAAATCCCCCAGCTTAGCGGCTAGGGGCCCCTATTATTCAAGCCACTTTTGTACACACTGTGGCTCTGCAAATTAGCGGCGCAGTTACCGTCCCTGCTGGGGAAAGGGAACGAGCTTTGCTTCGTGGACTCATTATACACAGGGGTCTCGGGTCTATGAAATCAGTGTTGGTGGAGCACCCCCTGCCTGCCCCACGACAGAGGGGCCGTGTGAGTGGCGGGGCGGGGGGGCTTGGCTTTCAGGACAGAGTTTCTCTTCCTCCTGCCTGGCACCTTGGTGTGGCATGTGGTATATTTCTTTCTCATTACAAGAATGATGTGGGGGTGCCTGTGTGTGGCGCTGCCCTTCAGAGAGGTGGCATTGGGAAGTGGTGGGGAGTGGTATGCAAATGTCGTCGCCTTCCACAGTGATTTAATGGCTGCACAGTGGAGGTTCCCAGAGTAAATCATTTCATCCCCCTCCTCCCACCGGATGCAGGGAGCTGGGGAGGCGTGGGGCTTCTGCATGAGCTGCTCCACTCAGAGCCAGCAGTGAGCACGGTGGCTGCCTTGATCCAAGAGAGCAAAAGAAACCCCTCATTTGTTGGCTGGGAGTCTGGGGTGGGGGTGGTCTCTGGGCCAGCAAAGCCCTTTCAGGGGCCTTGTTCCCAGATGCGTCTCCTAGCTCTATGCGGCTGGGTGCCTCCTTTCTTCTCTCCTGGGTCTAAATTTGAATGGGAATGGAGGGGGTCCATTTCCCCTGAAGCCATGGGATTCAGCAATGCATCACCTCCCATCACTGTGACAAGATGGAGGCACCCTGGTACCCTGGGCGACATCATGGGTAATGGGGGTGCCGCCAACTCTTCAGCAGAGTAGGTGTGTTGACTTACAGAGTAAGGAGGCTCCTCAGAGCCTCTCCTTCCACAGTCCCCTTGCAGATGGGAAGGAGACTTGGGCACAAGGACTGCCCGCTCAGGGTCACACAGTGAATTGGAGGTAGATCAGGGCTCACGGGCTCCCCCTCTTCTTAACTCCTTACCTACGACTTTCTAACCCTGTACCTGGGAGCTTTACTGGCAGAGGAATTCTACTGTACAGTCTTTTAGGGAACTATGACTCCATGCAAGGAGCCCAAGGTCATTAAAATGACAGCTGCCTGGCTTGGCCAAGACAGCCAGTGTCAAATTCAAAGATTAGAGAGCAAATATTAGTGGTGATGGTGATGGGGAAGGGGTGGTAATGATGATGGCGATGGTGATGCAGAAGGGGTGGTGATGGTGATGAGGATGACGTGGTGATGAGGAAGGGGTGGTGATGGTGATGGGGAAGGGGTGGTAATGATGATGGTGATGGTGATGAGGAAGGGGTGGTGATGGTGATGAGGATGAGGTGGTGATGAGGAAGGGGTGGTAATGGTGATGGGGAAGGGGTGGTGATGAGGAAGTGGTGGTGATGGTGATGAGGAAGGGGTGGTAATGGTGATGGTGAAGGGGTGGTTATGGTGATGGTGATGGGGAAGGGTGGTGATGGTGATGGTAATGAGGAAGAGGTGATGGTGATGAGGAAGGGGTGGTTATGGTAATGGGGAAGGGTGGTGATGGTGATGGGGAAGGGTGGTGATGGTGATGGGGATGGGGGAAGGGTGGTGATGAAAGCAGGTGCCTCTACCTGTGCTGCAGGCACCATCCAGGGCTTTCCCTGTGTGAACTCAGTGGGATGTTTGCCACTCTGTCAAGTGGATACTCTCATTATTCCTAGTTTACAAGGGAGGATCTGGAGATCCAGAGATGCTAAGTCACTTGGCTGGGGTTACACAGGATTAGGATTCCACCCCAGGCGCTGGTCTGTGTCTTGCCCAGCACCTCGTGCAGCCCAATTTCACTCTCTAGCCTTTTGTGGAATGGTGTGGCCAGCCTCTGAACAAGCCGGTCTTATATCAGTGGTGGATAGTTGTTAAGCTCCTTTGATGTGCTGACCTTTGCTGGGTCTTTCACTTCCTTTCTGCTCCCTCTCTCTCTGCAACAAATACATGTATTAAGGCGAACTAAGGCTTAGAGTCATAGAAATCAAACACATTGGAGTCACCTTTGTAGGCAACTGAGTCCTTTAGAATTCTGAGCCCCTGAGCGAGTAGATGGCAATGTTGAAGAGCAAGACTTTGTCAAGTTGAATTTTGGTCCCATGCACTGGAATACTGGGTTACCCCTTGGCCTCTGTGGGACTCAGTTTTCCCATCTGTAAAATGGGCCCCAAAATTCTCCCCAGCTGTTCTCATTACAAGGCTGAGGACTCTAGTAAGAAAGAGGTTCATAAGCAGCAGTGGTGTGCTGATGTGTGAGGCTGTTAGCACAGGGCATGACGCCCAAGACAGAAAAGGAGGCAAAAAAGGAAAGGCTGACTGGGGACACTTGCTGCCACCATTGGAGCTGCAAAGAAAAGAATCATGAACCATCAGCTGTCTGCCAAGTGGTTTGTCACTTCAGGATTCCACGGGATTCTTGGGCAACTGTTGAGGGGGTAGGATGTGTCCTCAGATGGGGACATTGAGGCTCAGAGGAACCCTACAGACTGACTCAAGACAACTCAACCCATGAATAGCAGGGTAGGGTCTCCTCCCTGGAGCTCGTGACTTCTGCCCTGATGGTACCTTCTTGTCCTGGAGTTTTGCCTCAGTTTCCCTGCCCTGAGGC